GGAGGGGGAGAGAGGGGAGACAGTGTTGAGTGTAAACAATGGATCAGCAATTTCCAATTCTGCGCGTCATCCCAATTCTCTCATACTGCAGTTGATGTGCACTCTGGCCCGGGTTGATTCTTTCAGTTCTTTTTAGTATTGCAATTAATTTATTAAACAAATCGATTTTGTAATTATTTATTTCATTAACTCAGTCGGTATCATGCCTGGCCACGGTGCAATGGTCCGGATTCGAATCCCAACGGGGGCTTAGCTGAACTTGGATTGTTTTGTCAGTTTTCCGGGCTCTCCACAAACTTATTCAATCGTTGTGGCGCGACGTTGTGGAATCAGGCGCTCGTCAATTTTTCTAGCCTATGGGATTATTTATATTATTTTAAAGCCTGTTCATCTGTCTTGCTTTTGGTAAATAAAAATATAAATCTATGTTGAACAGTTTATTTGCACTTGAAAGAGGTGAGGGTCACCTGGTTTCAGAGATAAAATTTACGAGAAAATGGCGGCCAAAGGTTAGTCATTTCCATAGCTTGAGAGTCCTTGGAAACTGAAAATTTACCGTCCTTGTGCCTTTAATCAATTTCTTTCTGTAAAACCCACACAGACATAGATTTTTTAATGGAGTGTGGAGCCAAAATAATAATAATAATAAAAAAAATTCCCAACGCCCAGAAAAACTCCAGTTTCTTTGATATTATAATTTTGGCGAGCGCCTGATTTCACAACGATGCCCCACGTATCAACGATTGGCATAGGCGATACATTCATTTAGTTACCAACTGTCTGTGGGGGGAATCCCTTCACCCACTTTATAGCAACATTTCAAGAACAACTAAAATTGCTTGTGACAGCCACGCAGCCACACCCACTCCGTTCACACATAGTATCATGATTACACCCTCACAAACTCACATCACCACGCTTTCCTTTTCCCTCTCCTCTCTCGTTCTCTCGCTGTCTGTCTGTCTGTCTGTCTGTCTGTCTGTCTGTCTGTCTGTCTGTCTGTCTGTCTGTCTGTCTGTCTGTCTCTCTCTTTCTCACACTCACTCTCTCTCTCTCTTCCACCCTCTTTCTCTCTGTCTCTTTTTCTCTGTCTGTCTGTGTCTCTGTTTCTGCCCTCCCTCTGTCTTTTTGTCTGTCTGTCTGTCTGTCTGTCTGTCTGTGTCTGTCTGTCTGTCTGTCTGTCTGTTTCTCTCTCTCTCTCTCTCTCTTTCTCTCTCTCTCTCTCTCT